AGATTGGGTAGTTAACGCAGAGTAATAAGGCTCAGTCGGCTGGCGGGATGAGCGCTTTCTGTGCATTTTCCGCGCTTGAATGAAGAAATCAATTCGCACAGTAATAGCCATAATAAAAAGCCATGGTAATTTGGTTTGGCATAGAGTCAAATGCGATTCCTACACTTACAACGTTTTCTTTTGATTCGAAAACCTATGAATGCGTGTAACTTCGTGCGTAATGAATGACGCGGGGACCGGTGGCACGTGGCGTTTCGCATACCGTACAGGGGGGGACCACACAACACCTACACCCTCCTGGAACTGATTCCCCCACAACAAGGCACTGGATTCGTCTCAAGAATTAATATAACCATTATAATTTTTATTAGTATTCTATTATCATGTATTGTAGTTTTTGGCCGTATAAATAATAAATAACGTAAATGAACACAAATCAACTATTTACTACTAAGTTTCCATGTTTTATGTACTCTGTTGCCTAAAAAATATACATTTTATGCGTTTCCTGCACAGTGGTGTGCGTGCGAAAGACTACACCATTTAAGGTAGTATCTGTAACGGCCTTTTTATTATAAGACGCAGTATTTTTTTTACGGACGATTATTAGGAGACACTTTACTGGTAGGCAAATACCATCTGTTTTTTGTTTACGATATTTGCTATTTGTTGCAAACGCCCTAAGTGCCTTTGATTACCCTTTGATTACTCTCGCAGAGCCTGCTTATCTTCACAGTACCCCCATGGTCGTGGTTCAACGTGATGTACGTCCGACAAGTCAAGTTAAGTAACTGATTCACAACACTCAAATAAAGGCAAAGAGTGTAACAACAACTAGCGCATGCCGCGTACGAAGTATATTAGAATGTTGTCAGTATTTCAACGTTTGTTAAATCAAGCCTCGGAAGCATGGTCTTTACTATGATTTTGGATATGACGTAGCATCAACGGCAACGGATATATGTTGCGCGAACATCCTACAATGTCCTGCAGACAGTCCTTGAGGATAACCTTTCGTGGCAAACAAGTTTTTTCAAACCGTGCAACTTCAAGTTTTCTGAATTCATTGTTGGGCAAATACAAGTGGTATAAGCTTAAAAGACGCAACACGGTTTTAGACCACATTAGCGCATAGGGAATCTTACATTTGCAGCTGCGTTCCTGGTCCCCCATTTGCACACACTCGCCCTACGTAACGCTCTGGTCAGCCGCGAGGACACGCGGGAATCGCTTTGATCATTCTTGGATCTCTTGGATGCATGCTTGGATCATGGCTTGGATCTCTTTTGGATCATCTTCTTAAGCGCGTGAGAGACTACTATATAAGGACAGACGTGAGTTTTCGGGGTGACGGCCCTCGGTGACGGTGAGTCTCGGTGACGGTCGAGTCTCGGTGAACGGTGAGTCTATGGGGACTGCCTGCCTGGGTGCATGTCTAACTGCCTGCCCTCTGCTGCCCTGGCCTGTCTTTGTCTATGCTGTTCGTCTGTTCTGTCTGTCGCTTCTTGTCGCCTTCTATAGAACGGCCACCTGTCTATAAAGGACAACTTCTATAGAACGGCCACCTGTCTATAAAGGACACTTTCGGTGTTTTTCTTGAGTGGAAGTTATACATTGAAACCAACGCGTATAGAACGCGAACCTGTCTAAGAAGAACAGTTTTAGCATTTCCATTGACTGCCCATATCGTATCCGGACGACCCCTTGGACAACTACCCACCGGACAACTACCACCCGGACAATTACCCCCCCTAGGACAACTCCCACCCGGACAACTGCCACCCGGACAACTAACCTCTAGCCTCTAGGGTTAGGGTTAGGGTTAGGGTTATCCTAGGGGTGTAATTGTCCTAGGGGGGTAGTTGTCCGGGTGGCAGTTGTCTGGGTGGCAGTTGTCCGGGTGGTAGAACTTTGTCCTAGGGGGGGAATTGTCCGGGTGGTATAGTTGTCCGGGGGGTAGTTGTCCAGGGGGTAGTAGTCCTAGAATCTGCCCATATATTTATCAAGAGCTAATAATACATACATGTATTATTGTATTATATAATGCATTATTAGCTTTTGATATATCTATATATATCTATATTATATATAATATATATCAAGCTGCGTATAAAGAAGGTCCTCGTAATCCAATACTGGCAAAGAATTCGTGCAACAATAGAATGGGGAAGTTTATTAATTCGGACTACATACTGCCCACGCATGGCAGTGGGTTGGCAGCTAATGCCATGTTTCCCAGGGGCGCACCGCTGTAGCGTCCTCTTCCCTTCTTTTAATACCTCGGACCGGTGAAGGCGCTCATGATGCGAATCGGCGCGCCGAGGATCGACATCTTTGTGTCTCCAATCACAGCCTACTAGCCGCACCAGTCTTTGATATCTTTATATATAGCTGAAACCCGCTGCCCTACGCGGGCTTTAGTCGCCTGTGATCATGTGGTTAATCCGAATCAAGTGCAGTAGTGTTATGTGGTACAGGTGTTATATGGACGAAGTTTTGGAGTTGTAACTTGTTGCACATGTTTGGTTTTTATGGGTTGAGTATTCAAGTTACAAAACATGTCAAGTCAAAAAAATTGCTTACACGTCTAACACATTAACCATTTGTGTGGCGAAGCTACACAGTGAAATACACACACCCACAGCAGAACATGATTTTTATTGTATCATGTATCTGGTTGATAATACGCGACCCAAACCTTAGAATATACGATAGGATGTGAATGGGTACATACGTAAACGTAATGTACGTGCCTTCGCAAAATGTTTTCCAGCTCGTGTGCGACGTACGTTAATATTGAACGTGCTTGTGATGCGACCGCTTTGTGAGCAGATCGGTGTTCACGACATCCCGCTAACTGTATCCAGCATTGGCCAAACTCAAAAAAAATCTTGCTCTGATGAATATTTCAACTTGGACATCTCATATGGGGAAACCTATATATGGACTAATAGCTACTGAATATTTAACCTTCATTATTAACATGGTTATTCTACCTTACGTTATGGGGCCCTTACCAGCAAAATTCTTCCGACAACAGGCTGCGACCACAGAACAGAGATATCCACGTACAGAACAACGAACGAGCATTGAAACCTGTGAAACAAAACGAAAAAATACAAACAAAACGTAAACAAAAACGGCGCCCCTATTTTCAGCCCATGTTTACCCGTTTTTTTGTTGATTTTGTCTTTTTTACGACCGAAACAAACGGTTTTCAAACCGTAGTAATGTTAGAAGCCCGTCCGTGCTAACGTCATCGATCTTCCTTCTGTAAATTTGCGCGCTATTTGGATCCGAGAATCGACGAGCCTGTCATTAACATACATACAAACATTCGCCAAATTATAGTAAAGATTGGGAACCTCATTGGGACACCAAGATCGCCGATGCTAAAATTCGCCAAAATTCGTCAGAACTAGGGGCATTCCCTGCCTACTGTTCAGCTAAGGTTTCCCTAACATAGACGTCATACGTTCACCTCCTTTTGCATCACAGGTCGGTGCAAGTCCATTGTGAAACACTTGTGTTGATATATTTATTTTTATTGAGACGTCAATTAAGTGTCTGCCCAACTGCATGGCTCGATATCGTCTTGTAGAATCTCAAACTCTCAGAGAGGCGGGCACATAACGTGCAAGCGCACATGTTCATCTCTGTTATTGTTTGACTGCTCTGAATGCGTGATTGATCAGGGAGGGGTGCAATGGTATAGAGGGAGACCATTGTTCTTTGGGTTCCGAAAGAACAGTCGAAGTCTCCAGCTGTTGGACAATTTCAATGTGTCCATTGGTCAATTGGAACTCCTGCATAGACTGACCCGGAAGATCCATTTGATGCTCGACAAATAGAAGCAATTCAAGGGAGTGGTATAAGTTGCTGGCTTATTTAGCCGGCCGGATAGTTTCTTATTTAGAGACAAATCCGTTCGTAGTTGTTATTCTAGAAGAGCTAGTCGATGAGCATGTCCCTGCAGGGTGGAGCGCGCGCTGTGGAGACGTGCGGCCGGGCCGTGGGCGGGAGGGAGTTGGCGGCACGGGGTGGGTCTTCGGCACTGCGACATCGCTCCATACTTTAACCATCCCCGCGTCCCGGGCCGTTCGCCATATCTCGCGGAACTGGCGTGGTCTCATCCGCGCGCAGCCGTTAAAGATGCAACAGAAAAGCTGTGCCTACGCATCTTGTATGCATGTCTCTCCAGTATATTATATATATATAATATTATTATTGTTTTACTGTAGGCATGCTTAGATTTCAGCTTCAACGCAATTTAAACTCGTTTTCGTTATATTTATCACGCTCGTGTACGTTACTCGCCTGGCAGCTTATCTCTGAAATCGTACACTTCGCTTGGCTAATATTATTCACGTCTGTCCTGTCCATCCTAGTTTGCACGGAGTGTGCGGGAGTATGAGAACCTCCAGCTGAGTCAAACACTCAGCGATGTGGAGAAGTAGCAAGCAGGCCGTATGGGTGTCATAGGAGCAAGGTCGCAACCCCCAGCTGGCCCAGCTAAACGGTGATGCCCACAGTACCAGCTGGCAAGGCAGCACAGGTAAATAACACCCCACCACCCACCACGCGACACACACACACGCAGCCACACACGCCCACGGACAAAGCACCCACACGCACGGACATCACAGCCACGCACACACACCACACTAAACGCATGACCACGCATGCACATCACATGCACGCACCACAGCACCCTGCGCGTCACGCACGTAGCGCAGCGAAAACACGCGACACACGCATGCATACACGCACGCACGCACGCTCCACACACGCGCACGCACTGCTCTACGACGCACGCACGAACCACGCACGTCCCACGCACGCACGGCGCACACAAAGCACACCCAGCGGCGATACACACAGACGGACGCACGTAAAACACACCCACCCCGCCAACGCACGACTACGCACCACGCCCCACCGCCCCGGCACGAAACACCGCGACCACGCGCCGAGGGCGGTACACACACGTACACACGCCGCGCGCACACATGGCGCACACAAACACCACACACAACGGCGGGGGCACACACCAACATCACACACAAGCGCAATAACTACAGCACCACCACATCGGACCACACTATCACCGCACGCACACAGTCCCGCCGCAGCACACACACACCACACACACACACACACACCACTAAACGCATCGCCGCGAGCGCATGCACGACTACATGCACGTGACGCACACGCACACTCGCGTACGCACGTACCAACGAACAACGCACACGACGAGTGCATACTACGCCACGGCACCGCAACGCTCACACGCACGCAGCCGTCACCACGCAAACGGCCACGCCACGCACGCACGCCGCACACAAACACACGAGCGCATACACAGCCACGTACCGCACGTACACACTACGCACGCACGCACCCCACGCACGGCACGCGCCACGCACGCACGACGCGCGAGCGCACACGACACGTACACACGCGAGCACACACACATGCGCTACACCACACAGCACACACAGCACACCCACCACAAGCGCATATCACACCACAGACGGACACACGCACCGAGGCCGTGACACACACACACGCACAAGCCACACACACACACGCACACACCTGCACACACCGACCGCCGCGGGGCCGCAAACACACACCACACCACACGGCGTGCACACGAGCGCATTACACCCACCATCGCACGCTCACCGCACGCACGCGCACGCACGACACCACCCCCCCACACCACCACACAACGACACACGCCACACACCCACATTCTTCACTATCCTGAGCGCCCACCGACCAACAGCCCACCACAGGCACCAACAGCCCGGCAGGGCCAAAACCGGTTAACCACTTCCACACGCGCGGGCGCAGGGGGCACGGCAAAACGTGCGCCTCTTCACTTAAACAGATTAAGGGCGAGCAGTCTCGCCATGTTCCTAGCGATTCCAATAATGTCACCACCCCTTCCAGTACCCTCACTTGGTATATTTTTATACACCGCGGCTGACCGCGGCGCTTTCCTGCAGAATAGCTCAGGGCGAGGTATCCTACCCCCTATACGGAGCCAGCGACGAATATGCTCCTGTAAATCCCCCTTCCTGAAATAGTCCATGTCATCACTCATTATTCAAAATCTTCTTTGTTAGTATATGCCAACATATTAAATATAGGAATAGTTATGCTCGTTTTGTGTCTTCTTGTGTATTATAAGCCAGATGAGAGCGACGTTCGGGGTAACCTTACACCACGGCCCTTTCTTGTTTGTTTAAGCCCCTCCGCCGCCAACGCTCACTAAAGTAACTATTCATATAACTGTGATATAAATCATCTTTCCTTGGCCGTGGTAACAATCATAGCCTTTTGTTTCATGTACAAAGGACTTTTTTAACTAAGTTTTTTCCAGATTTTCTCCTCTCATCTTAAATATAGTTGTAAGTCTTGGGTTTGTGAGGCGTGTTAATGTATTATGTGTAAACATAATCGTTTTTTCTCAATCGACCAACACATTCGCACTAAAAAACATGTATTCGGGTTTGTATATTTAATTTACGTGGTTCCTTATCGTTTCAAAGCTGTGTGGAAAACCCAATCCGTCAGTCGTAGTTTATCGTTACACAGTTCTTTAAGCGTTACGCCAGAGAGTCCAGCGGCGGTGCAAGGTGTATCTGCTATTGCCAGTGCCTTGCGAACAGTAAAAAGATGAATTGGCTGCGAAGCGAGCGAGCAACGGCCATAGCGAGAGAGGCAAAGCCCAGAGAAGCAGGGACCAGCTCTTCCTAAGAAGCGATACTATATTCATGTCAAGTAAACTGGCTTAGTACATTGAGCGCTAGCCCTGATATTTCGCACACGGTACGCACGCAAGCGCGCGCCACCAACGGGCACGCACCACTACATACATATATTTATATATTATTTTCCATTTATATTAGTTTATATATTGTGCATATATAAGTATATATATGCTTTTGCAAATATTCCTATATATAGTATATATATTATATATATATACAGCCGGAACCCATGTTTATATGATATATATATTCCCACCATTACATCACTATATATATTATACCGCAAACTCACTGCATAGTATTATGTCTCCCAGTTGTGCTTGTCATTTGCAATATTTCCTGGTAATTTAATCTGGGGGCGGAAAAACAACTCGAAAACCTTATCTGAAATTATATATACATATATATAAACTTCATTTCCCCAACATTAAATTTAACACAGGAAATATTGACTACATCCCACACCCTAATTATTGCACTGAATTCTATATATATATAGGAGTTAATAACCAGACAAATTTGTCTTTATTAACTGCCTGATAAATATGGATATATTAATATACTGATACCATGATCATATACCACATTTCCTCTAGTATATATAGATTATTTCCTGTGTAATTTAATTGGAAAACCTGACTTAAAATATCTTGAAATGACAACAACTGGAGACATATATTCATGCACTGAATTATGATACATATTATATCATAATATATATATATCATATATAACATTAATATATATTATATAGCTATGATTGTATATATATATATATATATATATACATATATACATACAATCAAAGGCTAATATCTATTATTAGCTCTTGATACAATAAAACCTGTACACAGCAATTACACACTAAACCATCTCAATAAAATAGCGGCCTTTCTGTTACGAAAACTTAAATAAACAGAACAGAACATCTGTCTATACTCGTGTGAAAATAAACTTGAAAATACTTGAATATTCAAGTTCTGATGGACTTGAATATTCATGTTAATTCATCTTATTTAATTCCACTGTTAAAAGAACTTGCATTTTCCTGAATTAACTTGCTGGTATTTGGATGGGAAATTCAAGAATATTCAAAATAATTCAAGTTTATAGATGAACTAATGTGAACACACCGCAAATTAATTAGTACCAGCAACTAGAGCCAACCCAGCATACATATCCAGCACCCAGAACCCAGTACATATCCAGCACATAGGCCAGCCACAGACTCAAACCAGCATATGTCCAGTACTGTACTGGGGATGTACTGGACTTCCAGTACATCCCCAGTAGAGCAGAGAAAAACTCGAGTGATTGTTCCAGTACATGTCCAGCGCGCGCTATATCAACTGGATAAAAGAAAAACTCCTTTATATTAATGGAAATAAGACTCGTGTATTGTACTATTTACTCAGTTCAAGTGACTTGTATTTCTGCGGGCTGCTGGAATAAAATACCAGTTATTTCAAGAAATTTGAATTTTTAGTGGATGACAACCTTTAAAATATCAGTTATTTCAAGATAACTTGCACTTTCTGAGACTGGAATTAACTTGGATTAACTTGAACTTCAAGTATCTATATTAAGTCCATGTTTATTCATGATAATTCAAGTTCAGTGACTTGAATACAACTTTAATAATTCATGCATTCATGTTATTTCAAGTTCTTTCAAGAAACTGGAATAATATTTTCACACAGGTTTAAAACAACACTTGGCGCTTTCCTGGAGTCATCCCTGTATGCACATGTGACTAGTTTTGTGCCCATCTCGTAACCCCTCTCCCCCACATCTGCCACACCGGAAAACCATTGCACGACCCTGCCAGCAGAGTTGGTGATTCAGTCACATTTTTAAGTGGTTTAAGTAGCGTTTTACAGGCTCTAGTACGGTCGCGACGGATTGAAATTCCCTGATTGTTTGTAATTTTGGATATTTTGCCGGTTGCCGCCGCGCATACGCACGGCCGGCCGAATCGCGCGAGTATTCATCAGGCCCGACAGAAACTCGTTAGCGCCGGAAGCACGTCGCAGCATATTGACAGTAATGCAATTATGCGCTCTGATTGCGCGAGCCGCTTGGCAGGAAATTAAAATTCTCACGTGAAGTTTGTGCCGATGTGCTAGAAGGGCGAGGCGCAGCGGCAGCTAGTAGCGCCCCCTGCTGCTTGTGCTTCCCCGCGCGCGCGCCTTCGCCCGATTGAACTTTCTTCGCACATTAGAAAAGTCATCAGTCTGAATATCAATGAGTGTTTTTTCTTTCTTTCGAATCGCGTTGCCTAGCACGCGTTAGGCTAGCAGACGTAGAAGCGTACACGCGGCTAATGCAGAGCATGCATGCAGGCAATTTAGTTGATTGTGAAGCAGAGACAGTTAGCAGACAGTGGCGAGACAGTTTTCGAGGTTCTGCTAAAGGCTGAGGTTAGGTTAGGAATTGTTACCTTTAGTATATAAAGGCTGCTGGGCGTGTTGTCAGGGTGTAGACTGCTAGGGTGTAGACTGCTAGGGTGTAGACTGCTAGGGTGTAGACTGCTAGACAGACAGACAGACAGACAGACGGACAGATAGACAGACAGGTAGGCAGAGAGGCAGGCAGTTAGACATGCACCCAGGCAGGCAGTCCCCATAGACTCACCGTCACCGAGACTCACCGTCACCGAGACTCACCGTCACCGAGGCCGTCACCGAAACTCACGTTGTCCTTATATAGTAGTCCTCTCACGCGCTAGAGATGATCCAAGAGATCCAAGATGATCCAAGATGATCCAAGA